CGCTCCCGCTCCCGCACGCAGGCTGCCGCACGCTCCCGCTTGCGCGCACACACACACACACACACATCACACACACACATCACACACACAGGCGCGCACAAACACACACACATGCACACACGTACACACACACACACGCACACACACACACTCACACACGCACCTCTCTCTCTCTCTCTCTCTCTCTCTCTCTATCTATCTATCTATCTATCTATCTATCTATCTATCTATCTCTATCTATCTATCTATCTATCTATCTATCTATCTATCTATCTCACGCGCGCGCGCACACACACAAACACACACACACACACACACACACACACACACACACACACACACACACACACTTAATCAATCAATCAATCAATCAATCAATCAAACCTTTTTTTTTTTTTTTTTTAATTTTGCATCTTTATTTTTTTAAAACACCTCATTTCCCTGCAAAAAACAAAAATCCAATTGGAAAAATAATACAGGTGTACTCAGGGACCATACATCTCATGATAAAAAATGGCAAAAAAAAATTCCTGCTTTTCTTTATATATATATATTTTAATTTTGTTTAAATCGATTTTAGTTTTTGATTTTTTAAAAATCTTAAACAAAGTCGGATTCCAAAAAAACAAATACAGGAGTGTAGGGTTTTTCAAGCCCTACACCACCATTTTTTTAAATATTTTTTTACGTATTTTTAGGGGGAGAAAAAAAATATTGAAAAACCGGGCCGCATACTGGGCCTCATTGGCCGCGGCCGCGGCCGCGGCCGAGAATCTTGGCCGCAGCGGCCGAAATGCCCGCGGCCTAGGCCGCGGGTGTCACATAGGTCACAGGGTCTTGGTTCGGCAAACAGAATACCACCCACCCTGGAAATAGTTCCCCAATAGTCCGAATCTGGTCCAAAAAGTCTGCCAAATCCATAGAAACTTGCTTCTCCCGTATCATCACCAAAGTCCAGCGTAGTAACCACGGAGAAGGCTATCTCCCCCATAGCAGTCTTCATTGCTGGCCAGAGTACCCCTGTCTGCTTACCCGGGAAGGCGCCATCACCAGAGACCCCCCTTAATCTAGTATCACAGCCGATTCTCCCCTCCTCCGTTCTAGTACCAAAGCTACGAATCTCCCCGATGATCACCCCTTTGTATTCCACCGCAAGCACAATGCCGGCGATGGTCGTAATCTGTGGTTGTGCAGTTAAGATGTCGGCAAGTGCGAGGTTATCCAGGGCTATAGCTGGCTGCGCAGAACTCCGCTGAGCCTCCCATACGTTTGGTCGGACAATCCTCACCATAGTGGGTCCAGCAGGAGGCCAGGGCAGGAAGATGTCTGGATCATACTCTACACGGAGTATCTCCGGAATCCGCCTGCCCAGTTCCAGCGCCATTGGGACTTGAAGAGGGGCAACAGGGAGTTGTCCTAGTATCAGATCCGCAAGTGCAGCTACTCCTGTGTTGAGACCCTGCTCTGCAGAGTACAGCCTCTCTTGTGCTGAGAGTGACTCCCGCTGTATCCGGCTCTCAGACCTGCAGCCACGTATGCCTGTCATTAGACCCTAATTGCTGAAGATCAACAAGGTTTCAGCATAGCATAGGGCGAGCGTCGAGAGGGTAAAGGCAAGAAGAGACCTCCTTAATCGGCCGTTCTGGGTAATCAGTCTTTTAATCTTTTTATTTTGAGAGATCCTAAGCTGGCTCCAGGCGTCTTTATTCGCAAAGAGGACCGTCCTATGCATATGCTGAAGTTTCATAAAACTGTCGATAACCGCTTTGTGCCGGGATCTGAGTCTGCGCAAGATATGCCCAGCCCATATACGTGGGTTGGAGTCCGATTGCGAGAACCCCACTACCTCTTCCTCCTCTTCCTGTAGGATGGTAATGACGATCATGTTACTTCTATCGATAAGAACTTCAGAGATTTTCCAACTCCCTCTCAGATGCAGCGAGTCTGTGAGTATGTTCCCGAATGTCGTCTTCAGAGGACTCCAGAAGATTCGCCATCTGTTGGGAGAAAAAGGAGAAGAGGAGAGAAGAGAAGA